CCTTCGTATTCCTAACAGTCTCTTACATTCTGGTTCCCTTTCTAAAACAAACGTGTTTCCACAGCAGCAACTGCACTACAACAGAGGAGTGGTGTTTTCTGCGCAGTCAGTGCCGATATGTTATAAGCAGAACGACTGACGAGTCAGAACCAGAATTACCTTACGATTGGAGATTTACCGCCAATTAGGTCTTCTTGGCGCCAAACAGCATTAACCGGTTGGGCTTTGTGGCGGAGACGTCGTGTGTTTTCCGTGAGGTACTGAAGCGGTCCAAATTAGGAGAAACTTTAAGTAATTTCTGTATGATTATGTTCTTTGAAATTAATTGCTTTCGGCTCGAGAGTTAGTCCGTCCATGATCCTGCCTCAGTTTCTTTCATTTTTCCCTCAACTTCCTTTCTGCTTAGGCTACCTGCTTTCCATCCTGCCGACACTTAGGTAGCGTCTCTATGAAGTCAGATTTGCTTGACGAGTGACCGTATCCTTTAACTGCTATTACGGTTCACTTACACACATACATACACACACCATACTTCCCAGATTTTATAATTTAATTCACCCCCGCAAACTTACTCAGCGGTCAGCTGACTGTCAAGGGCCTCCGTTCAAGCTGTAAGTATGGTTTCAGATACTTTACACTGAGGAGACCTCGAGACTTTTCTTCTTCGTTTTGCAACTCGTGCATGGCAGGGTTTAATATTTTCTGAATGGTGTAGAGTGCTACAGAGGACTAACGCCCTGTGCTGCGTATGCCGCGAGTTGACGTCTTACTAGCACTAGATCGCTTACTTTGGGTTTCCGTTTTGTTCTGTCCATCCTGCTTTGTCGGCCTTCAGTAGTACGTATCTCAGCTAAAGAGTCTTCCACTGGTAGTTGGTCTGGTGCCTTCTGCAGTAATCTCCTGAGAACGTCTGCTGGTTCTACAGCCTCCACGTAGGGCACAAGCTCACGCATATTTTGTATGGGTTTCATGGCTTGCCTACTTCACGAATGGGATTACTCTCCGGGTGCCGGGTGGGAGAGCCCTTGGTCTCAACGCCCAATTTTGTATGGGTTTCATGGCTTGCCTACTTCACGAATGGGATTACTCTCCGGGTGCCGGGTGGGAGAGCCCTTGGTCTCAACGCCCAATTCTGTATGGGTTTCATGGCTTGCCTACTTCACGAAAGGGATTACTCTCCGGGTGCCGGGTGGGACAGCCCTTGGTCTCAACGCCCAATTTTGTATGGGTTTCATGGCTTGCCTACTTCACGAATGGGATTACTCTCCGGGTGCCGGGTGGGAGAGCCCTTGGTCTCAACGCCCAATTCTGCAAATTGCGACCCACGGTCGGACAGTATCGCCTCCGGCTGCGTGATTTTGGGGAAATAATGATTTCTGAATTCGTTGAGACAGCTCCCGGCAGTGGCCGCTTCCAAAGGGCAGAAGGGGACATGTTTAAAAAATATATCAAGGCATACCAGTAGATCAATTTAAACTGTAAAGTATTCCACCTGTAATGCAACGGGAACAAGGAACAAACAGCACTAAACACACGCAACTAGTGAACGGAGCACTGAAACTGCCGCTAGAAAGACAAGATGAAAATATCCTACGAAGCAAATTCACAGCAGCAGCAGTGTGCCTAAGGGTACTAAGGGGCCGCGCCATAGCTCAAGCGGTTAGTTTCTGGCTTCTCACCGCGGCGACCCGGGTTCGATCCCGGGGTCTGGTGAAGTGGGATTTATGGTGGACAAAGTGGCGCTGGGGCGGGTTTTCTCCGAGTACTTCGGTTTCCCCTACCAATCTTCATTCCACCAAATTCTCCATCATCATAATCACCCGGGGCAAGCTACAATAGGCCAATCGGGCAAGCTACAATAGGCCAATCAGTTGCCGCCGTGCCGAGTGGACCCAGTTGGACTCCACCCCCCACTAAGAGAATTGAAAAAAAAAGGTACTAAGAACAAAGCGTACAGTACAGTGGTCCCCCAAAATAATGTGTTGCCTGATGATGGACCATGCGTGGCCCGAAACATGTAGTACTGACATCAAATAACGTTCAACGCAGCGCTGACAAGTGCAGCAAGTGTGCAGACAACTACTGTCACCCCCGCTCCTCTGAGTGTGACATGAGTCTGCTTGCTGTGTGCCCACGCGGCTGCCTCTTCTCTGACCTTTGGGCAGGTGCTGCCCTGTTATCGATATGCGACAAGGAGACTGACCCTCGCTCACAAAGGGCAGTCCGTCCAGCCTACTTGGATCCGAGGGAGTGGAATGGATTGCAAGTATTTACACAGCACGCAGCTGCATCGTGTAAGACCCACACCAAACGTTGTTAGGGTAGTCGGCCTCCAAAACGTGGGGCGCGACCCCTGGAGGGGGGGTATTCTGCGGAAGGGGTTACTCTATTAAATCTTGCTGACTTTCCGAAGCTGCGAGTGGACACAGCTATATTTGAAACAGTTGTTGAGAGCTTGCCTACCCTCCTTAGGGGTGGGTCACGACCAGCAGTTCGAGGAACCTTGCCTTGAAGCCTGGCGTGACTGTCGCTGTTCGGGCGAAGTTGCGACAGACTTGGTTACTCCGGTGAGTTGGAGTCACACGTCATCAGAGGCTGAACTCCGGCACTGTTGACGTGGGGACATCTATTTACCGCTGACATCAACTGACGTAAGATGGCTGTCATAGGGCATGTGACGCCATGTAGTCTGGTAGGAGCGTTAATGTCAAGGTGGAGACAAATAGATTCTTCCGAAATGTTGGTAAGGACTAACCAGTATATACGGCGTCACCTCCGGGAGAGTCCCAAACCTCATACGAACAGATTTTACACTGTGACGCGCCGCGGCGGTCATTACGCCAGATCGACGCTTGTTCAGTGAGTTTCTAACTGGGAACTGCAAATATTTTATGTCATTTGACGACGTATATTCACCACTTAAGCACAGTGGCAAGTATGGTAAGTATGTGTACCATGTACTTCAGCATTGTGAGTATGTGAAAGTGTGCACGCGAAGCACCCTCTCTCTCTCTCTCTCTCTCTGAGCAAAGCAACAGCACGGATAGGGCCCAGTGTCAGGCGAGAAGTCAGTTTGCATCCGGAAGGTCCTGCGAAGGCCATTTCGATCAAGGTTTTCCGTGGTTTTCCTCGGTCCTGCAGTAGATGCTTCACACGCAGCCCTCCCAATGGTAACAGCAGAAGTTCAGCCTAATATAGCACTCCAAGTTCCGCTCATAAGCGATAAAGCAACTTCTTGAACTTCGAATGTGGCAGTTTCCATGGCTTACGGGCCTCTGGTGGCATTCCACTCTGTTCGTGTACACAAGTGGCTGTTTCCTTTGGAAATGTAATTATTATTGTGAGGACTTCATTTTGAATTGTGTAGCTCGAGACGTGGGGCGGGGGGGGACACATGTCAGGAAGGAACGGAGAAGCAATTTGCGAAATGCTAACGCTGGATTGATATCAGTTTAAGCCTGTGTTTCGCTTTGCGTAGAATGCAGCCGTGCGTGCTGGTTTTGAGTTGATCTGAGTTAGTTGGTTGGTGCGCGATTGAGTCAGTCAGTCAGTCAGTTAGTTACTTAGAGAACCTCTGTGGTTCAGTCCTTGTGAGCTGTTGCTGTTAGAAGCTGGTAGCTGGGGCCGGAACAGTTCGGGAACCAAGAGGAAAGTGAACGTCCGTCGTTAGCAGACGCTACCGAGCAACGGCTAATGAAGACACAGCATACTGAAAGGACTAAACTGTGTGCTCTGGTGAACTGTAAAGTGTGGGAATTAATGAAACAGCTGCACTTACTTACAGTCACGGATCTGTAAGACTTCAATAAATCCAATTCTCAATCTACCCCCGTATATAATCACCGCAAAGACAAAGGTAAAGTTGTCCCTCTGCTTAGCGTATGGAGGAGTGGATAATCATTACCAGGGCCCGGATTTTGATGACCTGAAAATATTTAAAAAATTACCTATAAAATGACCGAAAAAAAAACAGAAATATGACCTAAAGGAGAAAAGAAACAACACTTCGCTTCCATATTATTCACATTTCAGAAAACATATGAAGAAAAATTCCCTAAAATGGCCAAAAATGACAAGAAATACGCTTAAAAGTCCAAAAATTTACCAAAAAATTACCTATAAAATTTACATTTTTGTAACCAGCAGCTCATATCCGAGATTTATATATTTACGAGGATCGCATAGTATAAAAGGAAAAAAAAAGATGACATGTCATCAAAATCCGGGCCCTGATCATTACATACACGTGACAATATTACGAAACTGACTTTGTAACCTTGCCAGTATGGACAGTGGCCACTATTGTTAAAGAGATGTAGAAGAATTGCGGTGGAGCTCTGTTTCTCTTTAACTACATAAATACATTTTAATTTCTCAATTTGAGTGCCATTCTTTCTACGTATAGAGCTGTATCTATGGCACACACATTGACAGTCACAAGGAAAGGATCCACACCCTGGGGGAAGGGTAACACTTCTGGCTGTTGCTAGAGAAAGGCGCTGCGTTTTCCTCTATCACAAGAAAATTTGTCGTGAAGCATACCAATGGAACAGATCGCTCTTCTTCTGAAAGTAATTATTGTAGAATGGAAATCCGTACATAAAACCTGATGCAACATGAACAATTCTTTCAGATACAATCAATATACCAGTAAGCGGAGATATAGCGCCATACTGGTCCAACCGGCGTCGTCTGCCGCAATTTATCAGCAAACAAGCGAAGCATGGGCACCGTAAACACAAGAACATGAAAACGGACAAAAGATAAAGCTACAAGCGCGAACATGACCCCAAAGTCTGTGACCCTAATTACCCGCTGTTCTCTTCCCCTCTGCAGGCTCTGATTTTCGGAAAGGCGCTTTCCCTGGTTCGGGGCGACAGAACCAATGAGACATGGCCCACAGAAGGGAGTGTTACCCTGCAGGGTCTGGGTGTGCGCCCCACCCCACTCCATCTCCAGATATCAAAGTCCTCTAGTGCTGATAATCGCGTCTGTTATGTCAGACCGGTTCAGAATTAGTTGTGAAGAAGAAAGCTCGAAGTTTAGACGTGCCTGAAGCCTAACTCTCGAGGACACAGCTCCGTCTGTCATCACACCGCCGACCAAATAAGGGCTACACAATTTTGAAACTGCGCTGCTGAAGATAAGCTCAGGAAGAAGTCAGATGTCACTTGAGGCTTCCAGAATTGAGACTCAAGTTGTGCAAGTAATGCCAGGGTTAGGGAAACTCAAAATTCAATAATTTAGGAGTGGAACAGTCTATACTCACGGGACGCATTTGTGACTTCTATGGCGAAAACTAGAAGCAGTTATTTCCAGAGATACAGAATCCGCATTTCTGTTCTTTAACAGTGTTCACAGACTCCTCGAGAAAGAAATTTGAATAGCGATTTAAAATAATATAGAAACTTAAATAAACTTCTATAATAAACTAAAACTTCTATAATATAATTAATTTAATAATAAAATTATAGCACTAATAATACGGGTTTAGCAAAGTCTCTGTCACATTCACAACAACCAAGAGTTTTCAGAGGCATCCGAATAAGGTTTAAGCTGGTACACACACTATCAAGAAGGCAGTTATTGAAGATACCAAAGAGTAACAATGCCGATGAAGGATTTCTCGAAACGACAATGGCTTACGCTCGTTGTATTTAGCATCGCTGACTTCTGCAATGCCATCTGCGTGTCTCTGCAGGCCCCCTTCTACCCAAAAGAGGTAAGTTGAGCATTTCGTGCATGTATCTATGCCGTTCATGAACCACAGTGACAGACAAGTCGTAACTGATGTTCATTCCCAAAGTTCTGCAGAAAAGAGTGCAACAGTGGAATATGATATTAAATTAATAGAAATTCTGAGTTTATTGAACAGTATATGTCGGGATCACATATTGGTTTGCTTGCAAGGATTACGAATTAAAGCTACTGTCTTCTGGGGCGTGACACCGTGCAGTTCGGTAGCTAGGTAGGGGAGCATAAAAGGGACATCTTGTCAGTCATTTTGAGGTCGGACGTGAGATTCTACCACTCTGAAGATGAAAGCTCCTCAGCAGTGTTTTTACATACCTACCAAACTACACGGCGTCACATCAGAGACGACGCTAATCTCAATACCGCCATTAGAACCTCACATCTCGAATGGGCATTTAAGACTCAGAAAATGTTGTACAAAATCTTTGTTGAAAAGAGCACTCGGTTTGCATTTGATATTATGCAAGAGAACATTATTACATAAGATCCAGAGATTTCACGGCGGCTGAAGTTGATAAAATCTTCTCGGGCTATCATCCGTGTCAACTGGTTAAAAATCACCGAAGTCTCATGACAATCTCTGGTCTGAGACTCAGACTCTGATGATGGGGACAGAGATGGTTCCTGCAACGCTGGTGATTTTTAACCAACTGACACGTTACTGTGACTTGAACTTGTGACACTGAAGCTTTCCCTGTAACAGGCCGTGGAGTCCCACAGGGTTGTAAGATGTCGAGGATCCAACATTTTCTAGACAATCGGCCCACAGATGGCGGTGAGGCTGTCAGCCTTACGCGCCGGCCGCCCTTCACCCCCCGGAAGATTCCTGGTACTCATTTCGCTTAGACGCCGAGTCGACACAAGGGCCATAGTGAGGTTGGAAGGATTAGGTCAATTGAAAAATCCAATGGCCCCATCGGGAATGAAACCCACGACCTTCCGGCTTGTAGCATGGTCCCTCAACTAACTACGGTATCGCGTGGTCCCCCAAAACAGCAAAACTGCGGTCGGCTGCCGGCTCCTACCGCGGCGGTCCACATTCGATCCCAGGTTAAGGCAATACTTTGGTTCCCTGTACCAATTCTCATTCCAGCAAACGTGGAAGTGGCCGTGGACTAACATGCGGTACTGTCCAGGCATATGCATGGAGGCATGTCTGTCAGTACCGGGCACACACTGCGTCTCCACGACTTCTGTTCGAAACATCCTTTGCTCCTAAAAGCATTTGGCGACCCGTGTCCGTCACGGCTGGGGAAGAGACCACGTATTGGAGCAAATTCCCCGATACCAAATTTCACTGAAATTCTTTCAGCGCGTGCCGAGTTGTTACTTACACACGGACACACACGACGCAGAATAACATGGCCCCGCTTTTTTGTAATTAGCAATTCTGTACACGAAGAAGACTGAATTATCTCCAGACATGGCAAAGGGGCAGACTTTTATGATGAGGGTGATGAACATTCGCGATGAGAAGCGTGGCACGTTGATCAGGAGTGGCCGCCGCCGTTACTGTGATGACCGAAGTTCACTCAGAGACATTTCTTGCCTGACCTCTGACACCATCTCCACTTCACCGATAACTCCGACAAATTGATACCAGTGTCTTGAGGCAATACAGCATGGGCTCCAGGAACACAGCTGCTGGTATGCTTCACTGTGTGAACCTGAGGCTTGAACTCGCGTCCATACAACCCTCCCGGGGCACACTACAGTTCATCTGTGAACCCTTCGGCGCGATTTCCACGCAAAGGCAGCCAGTGGGGTTAATTTAATGGCCATGTCTGCAGCTCGGCTTATACTGAGTCGAGTGATAGGATGATTCATCAACTGGAAAGGATAGTGGCCTGATCTCAGGTACCATCCCGTCATTTGTCTCGAGGGATTATGAGAAACCACGACACGTCCTGCCTACGCGTTTCCGCGCTGCAGAGAGCAACGCAACCCGCTCTGTAATTCTTACGGTTCCGAACACACAGAGCTGAAGGCACGTGTTCGGATCTCTTTGCTTGCCGATATCAATGCTTCGGGGTAACCAACTCGGAGAGGGGGCTGCATTCGTGTGGCTCGTGTGGCGGCGAATTTCGTCAGTAGCCGAGTGAACACCGGTCTCTAAAGTAGGGTTCAGTTCCGTGCAGTTAGCTGCTCACGCTAGAAGTTCCCTTCCTGTCGCCATTCCACTTAGGTTTCCGGGTGTCTTGTTCGCACAGGAGTCCGGCGGGAAACGTGCGAAATTTTAAGTCGAAACACGACGCTTTAATGATAAGGATATGGCAAAGGATAATGACAATCATTTCTCAGTACGACAAATCATAAATTGTCCACTCCGTGACCCCTCAGAGGTTAGCAAGCGACCCAGTGGTTTTATGGCTTGCAGCCAGGAGGCGCCAGTGAAGCTATTGAACTGCCGCTGTGACGCAACACACTGCGAGCCGGGATCCGTGGCTCCCAAATCCTGTCACATTGAACCATCAAAGTTCAAAACCAACGTAAGAAAAATTACAGATAAAAGCGTTCACAGTGACGTCGGCCTATGCTTGCAGATTAATATTGAGAAACGAGATGTCGTCAGCCAATCAGTAGATGGAAGCCACGTTTGGTTCCCATAAAAACCTGAACAAGGCCTTCCGGAAGCAAGTAGAATGCACGTTACAGTAGCTGCCTGCAAGAAATGACACCATCATGAACTTTAATAATGTGTTCAGGTTTCCAGAGTTCTAATGAGAACTGGTGTAGGGCCCATCTCCCCCACTTGCCCGTTTCGGTGTGTGCTGGTGAAGCCTCGTGCAACCAATTCGATAGCCAAGTCAGCTTTTTCAGTTCCTGCCTGACACGGTCTGTAACCCCGCAGGCTGCGACAGCCCTCTACAGCCTCACCTCGGTCCTCCTGCCCCCTGGGTGCAGCCCTGTGTTCCCTTCCGTGCGACACGTTATGAGACGTCGAGGCTCCCACACTCTTCCTAGACAATGGCGGTGAGGTTGTCAGACTTACGCGCCGGCCGCCCTATACCCTCAGAAAGATTCCTGGTACTCATTTCTGTTAGAGGCTGAGTCGGCCGCAGAGCCATAGTGCAGCTGGGAGGATTAAGTCGATGGAAATTATTTGGTTCCATGTTTACGTCATTAGGATAGTTGGGGAGTGCACTATTTGGTTCCATGTTTACGTGATTAGGATAGTTGGGGAGTGCACTATTTGGTTCCATGTTTACGTGATTAGGATAGTTGGGGAGTGCACTATTTGGTTCCATGTTTACGTGATTAGGATAGTTGGGGAGTGCACTATTTGGTTCCATGTTTACGTGATTAGGATAGTTGGGGAGTGCACTATTTGGTTCCATGTTTACGTGATTAGGATAGTTGGGGAGTGCACTATTTGGTTCCATGTTTACGTGATTAGGATAGTTGGGGAGTGCACTATTTGGTTCCATGTTTACGTGATTAGGATAGTTGGGGAGTGCACTATTTGGTTCCATGTTTACGTGATTAGGATAGTTGGGGAGTGCACTATTTGGTTCCATGTTTACGTGATTAGGATAGTTGGGGAGTGCACTATTTGGTTCCATGTTTACGTGATTAGGATAGTTGGGGAGTGCACTATTTGGTTCCATGTTTACGTGATTAGGATAGTTGGGGAGTGCACTATTTGGTTCCATGTTTACGTGATTAGGATAGTTGGGGAGTGCACTATTTGGTTCCATGTTTACGTGATTAGGATAGTTGGGGAGTGCACTATTTGGTTCCATGTTTACGTGATTAGGATAGTTGGGGAGTGCACTATTTGGTTCCATGTTTACGTGATTAGGATAGTTGGGGAGTGCACTATTTGGTTCCATGTTTACGTGATTAGGATAGTTGGGGAGTGCACTATTTGGTTCCATGTTTACGTGATTAGGATAGTTGGGGAGTGCACTATTTGGTTCCATGTTTACGTGATTAGGATAGTTGGGGAGTGCACTATTTGGTTCCATGTTTACGTGATTAGGATAGTTGGGGAGTGCACTATTTGGTTCCATGTTTACGTGATTAGGATAGTTGGGGAGTGCACTATTTGGTTCCATGTTTACGTGATTAGGATAGTTGGGGAGTGCACTATTTGGTTCCATGTTTACGTGATTAGGATAGTTGGGGAGTGCACTATTTGGTTCCATGTTTACGTGATTAGGATAGTTGGGGAGTGCACTATTTGGTTCCATGTTTACGTGATTAGGATTGTTGGGGGAGTTCACTATTCGGTTCCATGTTTACGTGATTAGGATAGTTGGGGAGTGCACTATTTGGTTACATGTTTACGTGATTAGGATAGTTGGGGAGTGCACTATTTGGTTCCAGGTTTACGTGATTAGGATTGTTGGAGGGGGGAGTGCGTTACTTCACGACACTGCCAGCTTCTAGTGCTATGAATTCGAAAAGATCTGGAAGAACCGATCATGACCTAATTGCGGCAGTAACCCGCCATTTGCCTGGAAACACAGCAGAAAGAAAGACGAAGACTGTGAGTCATGACACCCGCTGTCCCGGTCGGAATTAGAACCGAGCACCTTCCGAATGCAAGTGAAGAGAGTTACCGCTGTATCAACCCGCGCGGTAAGGAGACCAAAGTTGCAAGTCATCAGCCGTCGATGACTTCGCGAGCTGTCGTGGAAATTCCTTCCATCCTTCGTAATGCAACAAAATACGAGAAACGTATCTATGTAGGCTATAGGATCTGCCCGGTGTCTCCCCGAACGGCGTCATGAAGAAGGGTAGGGAATATGGGTGTTGGCGTCTGAGAGAAAATCACGGGAAAACTGTCGATTCTGCTGCTACGTGAATGGGTTCGAGTTCAAGCCACTTGTCTCCGTTACTTCCTCCGTGGCGGTAACCATGGTAGCGAGACGCATGTACAGTAGGCATTGTAGCATTGCATGGGAATGCTAGTAGTGCTAGGAAGGGTGACCATGACTGGTCATGCTCAGAACCCTCAGCAGCGTTGCCTCGGCGTCCAATATCAAGCGGCGGCGCTCCAAATGCAGAAGATAAAGAGAACTCAGATAATGGGTCAGTCGTCGTATTGGCCGTGACCCACATAACACATTATCTGTACAACGGATCGCCGGGCACACATCAATTTGTCAGAAATAAACATATTTTTATCATGTTAATGCAAAATGGAGTCAGACAGAAGAAGAATATGTATGTATGTATGTAGCTGTACTACTCTCTGGGACGTTGCGGTGTGGGGGTTGTGGCACCGACGGGCGGTGGGTGGGCCAACTACGACGCTTTCACTATTGCAGACTAGGTTATACAGCGTCGAAGGGTAGAATCATAACGGATGAACTGGAAACAATTTGGGAGGGGGCAGACGGGCCCATTCGAGATACAATCCTAGTATTTCTCTGGAAGAACTGAGGAAAATTGCGAATACCCTCAGTGAGAATAGCCGGTCTGGCCTGGAGTACTGCTACTACGAGAAGCCGCTCGGCGACACCGTGTAGTCTGGTAGACAATCACCAACATTTCGGAAGAACAAACTGCCTCTATCCCGAGCATAAATCGGTGATACTTATACATAAAAAAGTAAATGTATCCCTGTAACAGGCCGTGGAGGTCCATAGGATTGTGAGATGTTGAGGTTCCCACATTTTCTAGAAAATCGCCTCGCAGATGGTGGTGAGGTTCTCAGTCTTACGCGCCGGCCGCCCTTTACCCTCAGGAAGGTTCCTGGTACTCATTTCTGTTAGAGGCTGAGTCGACCCCAGGACCATAGCGCGGCTGGAAGGTTTAGGTCAATTGAAAACTCCAGTGACTCTATCGGGAATGGAACTAGCGACATACCGGCTTATAGCAGTAGTGCCTCAAGCAACTACGCTACCTCGCGCTCCTCGGTGAATATATGTATAGTGGCGGAAAGCGTTCTGAACGCACGCCATGCTGTTCCTAACGTAACTCGCCTTTGCAGGCGGAGCGGAAGGGGGCCACCGCCACGGAGTACGGCCTCGTCTTCGGCATCTTCGAGCTCGTCGTCTTCTTCATCAGCCCCATATACGGCCAGCACGTAAGTATGCAGCACTGCACTGCACCTGCGCACAAGCCATTCTGCAATGCTCTCGCCAACCAAACTATACGGCGTCAACATGAATTATAAGGAATTATGAAGGAGAGCGGTCATTGCATAATCGAGGTACAATCCCGGAATTTTCCTGGAAGGACTGAGAAAACCACGAAAGAGCTTTTGTCTAGGCCTAGACTTGAACTGAGCACCTCCCCATATTTATAAAAAAATCAGTCAACAGTTTTTATTTCGGGGCTGTACATTTTATGTGCTCTATTGTAAAGTCTGCTGTGTTGTATATTTCAGCTTAATCGGATAGGCCCGAAGCTACTGTTCAATGGCGGCATCTTCACCACAGGAGCATGCGCAATTCTGTTCGGGTAAGTGCAGACTGTTGCTCTGATAGCAGAGAGATTCACTGCCGCTAAACGTAGAGTGCGGCTACGTAGCCGGTAACACAACAGTCAGGGCCATTGTCTCTGTGCCCTAGGCTCCTGGACCATGTGAACGAGCACTGTCCCTTCATCGTGCTGTCCTTCCTGATTAGGATAGTGGAGGCCTTGGGAAACGCTGCCTTCCTCACGGCCAGTTTCGCTATCATAGCCAAGGAGTTCCCTGACAATGTCGCAACAACTTTCGTAAGTATCTCGACGATCACAGTTCGGTTCCCGCACACTGCATAACGACTCTGAGACCTGCTTCAGGACTCCTTACTCTTATTTAGAGCCGGCCGGAGCGAAAAGATCACCACTCACCTTCATCTAGTTAGTGTTCAGCGCAACATTCACGTATTTGGAGGGGCCGGGTTCAAAACCGGATCAGATTTCTCGTGATTTTTCACAGTCCCTCGAAAATGCTGGAATAAGCGCACATTTGGACACCCACCCAAACTCGTCACTCACAACAAGTCTGCCATCTGGTAGCTATGCTCATCGTCCGGTATTTTAAACAGTTGAAATCGTGGGAGGTCCGTTACAAACGGCTAATCCCAAATCACGTTGTGTTCTTCAGAATACCGTATGCCGGACAATCCTTACACCATCGTCAGAACCCTTCGGAATCGAGTTATAACACGTGTGGCTAAACGGCGTTCTTAATTATCCCAGAATCAATTTATCATGTAAACTTGCTATCTGCGCCATCTTGGATTTCACAAAATTTGGGGTCTTGCGTTTGAATCCACTAATTTTCGACTGTCTGGTCTCCCATCTGAGCACTTCTCCCGCGTATGAGAACCCCAGCATTCCCTACACATATGTATATGTTGAAACAGGCAAAGTGACCTATTTCATGTAAACGCGTGAACGGCATTTTGTATTTTTTCCCCTAAACCAGCATTTCCCCCAGGGGACTTTAAAGATTATTCCTAGAAACGCAAAAACGTGTGCCGGTAAAGATGGTGAATTAATTTAAATCCCAAAAGACAATATTAAATTACAAAGACACGGTTTAACGGAAAAAGTGCTTCCCAGTAAGCAAACTGAAGTTTTGGGGGCCCCAAGAGCGTTTGGGAGCCACCCTCTCTAAGCGATTCGAGAGGCTGAGAAAGTTAAGGACTTTTGTTCCTTTTCAGGCATCGTTGGAGACGTTCTTTGGACTGGGGCTCATAGTGGGGCCCACAGTTGGTGGGGCTCTATATCAGGTAAGTCCAGTTCAAAACACATCTTGTAAGAGTTCAGTGTTTAGGTTAACAGGATGTTCTGACAGACCGGTCTCAATTTTCAGGTAGGAGGGTACACAACGCCATTTGCAATCATGGGCTCAGCGCTGTTTCTTGCGGCCATTATGACAGCGTTTGTGCTCCCGGAGCACGCAGAACCCGCGGAGGATGCGCAGCAGGCCTGTGAGTGGACTTCGCTATCGCATTTCCGTCTCCTTCACTAAAACTGAATGTGTCCCATATTTCTCTTCAAACTTTCGTTCAAAACAGTTTTTATTCCGATAAACATTGAGCGAGTTATGCTCGAGATGCGCGCGCAGAAACGCGCGTAGGTCTTCGTGTGATGTGTTCATGTGCCGTCCGTTTTAAACAAGGCCGTAATGTGTTAACACATTTTACTAAAACTTTCCAATAATGAATCTTATGAAAATCCAGAAACCAGTTCGCGAATTGTTACATGCGGACGGACACGCGCGCATTTTACAGCTCCTCGTTGCGAATGCGCACAGATGGATCTCAAAGAAGCTAGGTCTGAGGACGTGAACTGGATTCATCTGGCTCAAGATGCCGACCAGTGGTGGGCTCTTGTGAACTTCCGGGTTCCATAAAAGGCGGGCAATTTCTCTAATCTGTGACTATCGACTTGTAACGAAGAAGACTGCTCCGTGGACTGAGTCACTTTTACTACGTTTCCCGGTTTTAGGCAATACACATTTTCTGGGCAACTCAAAATTAAGCAGTCAATGTTTATGCTTGTCTTTACACGCAGAGAAATTTTGCTAGAAGGAAAGAAAAAAAAAAGCAACTACGTCGGTAAGAACAACATGGCGGACGCATAAACTGGTACCGCCAGTACAGAAATCTAGTTGCCATGGTAACAAAACTAACCACAGCAACCAGACTGTACTTAGTTCTGTTAACATGTGCATCAAGGTCAATGAGAACTGCTAGGAGCACTACAAATGCCAAGCAAATTGCCTGCACTGTGGTGCAGGTTGCAGCCCTACAACCCCGTGACAATGGGGCCGCTGAAAAAAGTTCCATAGATCGACCCAAGTTGTTATGCCCCCTCGCCTCAACCAGCCGTCACGCTGTCCTCTTCACACGAATGTCCGCTGGGGGGACAGTTGCACTGTCACACTAAACTCACGCGTCTCTTGTCTCCCGCAGCGAGCCTACTGCAAGTGCTTAGGATTCCCGGCGTGCTCCTGGCCGCGTCCAGCATCATCGTCACGTCCATGAGCATCGGGTTCCTGCAGGCCACGCTCGAGCCCCACCTGCGCCAGTTTGACCTGCCCCCGATGGTACTGGGCCTCATGTTTGTCATCAACGGGGGCACATACGCTCTCACGGCCCCCTGCTGGGGCTGGCTATGCGACAAGAAGGTGATGCCCAAAATTGCCACCGCCACGGGCTGCCTTCTCATCATCATTGGTTTCTTGCTAGTCGGACCCGCGCCCTTCATTCCCGGACCCACGTAAGTTCTAACCGAGCGTTGCTCCTTCCGTTCTGTTGTTGCTCCTACCATAGGACCCAGGGACGAAGTTTCGCACTGGCCAGGGTGGACCCCGTCCGTGGATCGTGAGAGACCTCTAAATACCCATCCAGTCCCCCAGCTTGGATCTCCTCTTCAACGCGACTATACGGCGTCATAGCCCACAGAAACATCACATCTCTCATACATGCAGCACCTAGATTTTTCGGGGGTTGCAAAGCTTTATGGCACCTAAACCCCTTTTCTGGGAAAAATTGTACGTTTCCGAACTCCCGTTTCGTAACTGCCAGTTCGTGCCATAATTTTGCATGACAGCTGCATCAGGCGTCGGTCTAAACTCTGAGGTTCTCATCCCAAAAGACAGTACTCACCGTGAATGGGTGTTGACTACCCTCATATATCGAGATCAGCGATAAACGGAAAGTGGCGGTGCGTTCAGTATGATGCTGGATGCGTTTCGATGAAAGTAATTGTACGTGATTACGATTTTACGATTATCATCTGATGAGGTTCTTTCTGTAAACAAGCACACTTGGTGTAAATCTGGCTAGGATTAAGAAGTTTAAAGCTAGACTGTTCCACAACACGCACGCTAGAGATGTGTAGCTGGCTCTTCAAGAAGGAAACAACGGAAACGGAAACGGAAACGGATCATGCAGCACATCCGCCGGATGCGAAACAGAACTGAACCATGTGACAACCCACACCACGACCAAGCACCTAGGACATAAGTCAAGAACTGTAAACACGGACCCAGGGCTACTTAACGGTTCTAATTAGTATAAAACCTCCTAGACATTTTAAGGTTCAGCCGCAGTGGCAACGGTTGGCACAGTTGGCACAATCCACAAAATGGATGCACCGTGTATATAAGATCAAACGGCGTTAACATGGCTTGATGATGGCCAAATGGGCCGAAATATGTTGTGATAAGGAAGTCTGGGATAGTATGCATGTCATGTTGTACTTTCCGTTAAGAGCACAAGGTGACCCTCCAACAGAATATTCCAGTTAAACAGAAGTTTAGAGGCCACGAGTATACAGGGGTGCGCGGGGGAGGGGGGGATGTGCAGTAGTGCTGCAGACACAAGAACTGTCCTAATGCTTCCTGCATTTGGCATGTTGCACATGTGAAGTCATAAGTGTTTTTGGAAACACTGCTATGACGAGCTTTACTTAAGTAATTTTTATTAATGCTAGTGGGGTGGGACTAAGTCCCTTGTACTGCTGCCACTTCTGGGCTATTGTACCAGCCCCAGATGATAGATGAGGGTGATTGTGGATCAATTGGTGGAATTAAGATTGACAGGGGAAACCGAAGTACTCGGAGAAAACCTGCCCCAGCGTCACTTTGTCCACCACAAATCCCACGTGACCAGACCCCGTGATCGAACCCGGGCCACCGCGGTGGGAAGCCAGCGACTAACCGCTTGAGCTATGGCGTGGCCAAAAATACATTTTAAATTGTGGACACAGAGTGAAAGCCAACAAAAGGGCATTAAGCGGAAACTGTGGTGAGGAGCACACTTTAACCAGGCGCACAGGATAATGAAGAAAGTCGCACAGTGAGGAGCTGTTAGAGAGAACAGATCAAGGGGAATGAGTTGATGAGGCATGTAACAGATATAAGAAACCTGATAAACACATATAAATTTTTTATCAAAAATCTTGAAGAGATTAAGTCACTTGGAAGACCTGTGTGTAGGTGGAAAGATCTTCAGTAAATAAGGTGTGGATTCATCTGGCTCAGGTAGGAGTGTCTGTCTGCTGGCTTCTGAAAGAGGCTCTGCCTCATGGAGTTAGACAGTGAGTAATAAGCATAACATGTTGTTCCAGGATCCTGTGGGTGTCCATCTTAGGCCTCGTGTCTCACGGACTGGGCATTGCTGCTCAGCTTGTGGCCTCCTTCACAGATGCACTGAGAACAGCCATGTAAGTTACACCAGACATGTAATGTGTCATTTTGCTGGGTCTCCACTTTACAATTGTTACACGTGGCCTTTTCGCACTGACACCTCAGTGCTCATCATATTTGGGGAGGGGGGAGAATGTATGTTCCCTTTTGTAGTGGAAGTTCAGTAAGTCACATGATGTAATGGGCAAATTTAGAAAGGCACATTCGATACATAGGAGCCAGAATAGGGGCCAGGCAGTGGGGTGAAGAAATGGGGAAATGGGGTTGATTCTCTGCATGGATGGAGATTTCTCATCTGCACTGGAGCTGTATCTCAACTCACCCATAAATCATGATAATTAAGCACAGGGACCTTTACTTTTCCCTCACTGTTCCAGACATATTTACGTCATCAAGACTTCCTTCCCACTCCAAAACACTTCATCATGTTTAAATGGAAGCTTCCTATGCATTTCAGATCCTACGGCTTCCCAAACAACTTGGAAACTTACGGGCTGATCTCTGGACTCTGGACATCAACATTTGCTCTTGGAGCCTTTGTGGGGCCCTCCATTGCAGGGATACTTTATGACAGCGTGGGATTCAGGAATGGCACAATGTTCATTGTGCTTCTCAATGTGATAGTGGTACGTGAGTTGCTATGAGAGCGATCTGCAAATCATACTGAAGTGGGTGTGTGGGTATGAAAACTTCCCTATCTTCTGGGATATAACGTCGCGTAGTCTGTTTAAAGTAAGCCGCACCATAGCTCAAGCAGTTAGTCGCTGGCTTCCCACCGTGGCGGCCCGGGGCCAATCCCAGGTCTGGTCAAGTGGGATTTGTGATGGACAAAGTGGCGCTGGGGCGAGTACTTCGGTTTCCCCTGCCAATCTTCATTCCACCAAATTCTCCATCATCATAATCACCCGGGGCAGGCTACAATAGGCCAATCAGTGGCCACCGTGCCAAGTGGACCCAGTTGGACTCCCCCCCCACTAAACGATGCCGACATATCAGAGGAACAAGTCACCTCCAACTTCACGGTCAAGCAGCCTTGAAGTTGGAGGTGACTTGTTTTTCAAAGTGCTGGCTGACTTCCAACGGACTACATGGCGATACATCCCAGATTATTAAACTGTCCATAACCACTGCTGTGAGAACCTCATTTCTTACACATGGATGCATAGGGACCAGTGGCAGGCCCTTGTGAACAAAGTAATGAAACTTCATGTTCCATCAAAGGCTAGGAATCCCATGTCCTGCTGAGCAACAGCCAGCTTCTCAAGGACTCATTACATGTAGTTATTTGTATGAAGTGTGTTGCCTGTTATAGGGGATCCTGGTGGTGATATTCATATGCTGCTCTCGCCAGAGGGTGCCATACAAACAGGTTCCCCCTGCGGAAGATCTGAAGGTCACCACAAGTAACTCTGAGTCATACAACTCAAGCAACGGCCATGCTGGGGGCAGTGCCATTGCTATCGAGCGGCCACCAGGTATGAACGGCATCATCGCCTGCAACAGCTACAAGAACCGCCATGGCACATGGCACCGCAAAGAAAGTGGTGCTATTCTTATTGGGCCCTATAGCACCAGCTATGGCAGCTGTGAATCCAGGGGGTTCCTTGAAAGCGTTGCGTAAGCCCAGCGCCAAGGTTCACAAGTTTCATTGTGTGTGTTCAGTGCTTTATCACTTGAGGACATTGGTCACCACCGAATGGGATATTACAGGTCAATGTGACAGTTATGAAAGTGGTTGTGGCCAATTTAATCCTTTGTCCATTCAGTTTGCCACATTAATATGTGGTGCTATCAGCCCAGCTTTTTTCAGGGTATTTAAATTTCAAATGAAATTTTACTGTTTTCCTCTATTAGTAGGGAGCAGAGATCTTTTAATTTTTGTACGTTGGGAGGAGTAAAGGGTGAGTGAATTACCCAAACATTTGCCTGAAAATAACCATCTCCCTGCCATCTGAAATTATGAGTTGTCTGTTTCCAGTTCTGTCATTCTAGCACAGTGTTACTTGTGTTTAAACTATACAGCAAATAAGCCGATAAAATATCATATTTTTGGAGAGTCTCCAGATCTCCGGCTTGTGAAATTTGTCGCTCGTTTCAACTGATAAACAGGAAAATATTTTGTAATTAGCAGCATTTGTCATGTTCGGTTTATATTGTCAGAACGTTGCAAGGAATCATGCAGAAATGATTTTCTTGAACTTGTTCACTGTTACATTGCACAGCTTCCACCATGTTGAAGGAATGCCTGAGGAGTTGGCCTGGAAGGCCCTTGCACCCTTTACACTGTGTTGAAACCACGGTACAGGTTTTCTACACAACAGTTCATTTTGTATCAACAGAAGCTCAAATAAATTCACAGATTTCTCAGGTAGAGTGACATTAAGGAAGTTACTGAAACTCTTACAAGCACAAGAGAAGAGAAGGCTGTGAAACTGACAGAGAAAGAGTGGACGGGACAAGTTGGGCGAGTTCCTCTTTTGAGATTTTCGGTTTCCATCGGGATAATTAAATTCATCATGTTGAAAGATGGAAACATGAAGCCGAGTCTATAAACAATGCGAAAAGTGTTTTAGCTGCTGGATCAATAATAACTACGGAAGGAATGTTCCTCAGTGTCATAAGATTTTTAAAATACGTCTTACATTACATGACTTCATTGTTATGTGCCTCTGAATACAAGGATGGCCTCCCAAGAATGTGTGTAACTTTACATGAACTCCTCTAGTATGTGCAAATGAGTAGCTCTTTTGCATTTGTGTAATTTATTTAATTAATAAAGCATTTCAAGTTCTTATGTATTATCTTTAAGGATTAAACATAAAAACATACAAAGATGTGAATATGCCAATTTATATGACTTCTCCAGTAAAATAAGTTGTTAAAACAGGGATTCTGCATTTCATTGTAACCACCTGGATGTGTAATTTGATAATTCTTGTTATTCAGCATCCTTCCATCCACTTCTTTAGGAATAAAACTGTTTCCTTCTGCCATTGACATAGAAAGCAGGAAAACTGAAATCATCCTGCTCAGCTGTGCTGCCATCTGTGTACTGATAGCAGGAAGCAAGATTAATTCCAATTTGCAAATAGGAAGCTGGAGCACGGTGGTAAAATCACTGAAGAGTCATTACCTGAACTGTTACTATTTAATATATTAATTAAAATATTTAGATGTTATAAATTTCCTTTCATGTCTTCAGTGACATTCCATTCATCATATCATTATATATAGTTCATCATCAGTAATCACCGCTGTACAAATATTTTTAATGAGAAATAAATATTTTGATCCAGATGTCAGTCATTTTCATTTCTTCATCAGATCAGATACTGTGAAATATTCTTGCATAACTAATGAGGTCTCACACCACAACAGTGGAAAAGACCACTGGACTCCGGACTCTCCAACAGTGAAGAACCTGTACTGTCACTAATTATGCCTTGAGACAGAACAGGTTTTATGCAGGGTCAAACCTTGGTCAGGAAAGTGGCTATTTTCACTTCAGCTTCAAGTTCTGATGCAAAATTCCTCCGACGGCTTGCTTCAAACTCACTATCAAAAACAAGCAACAGTAACTGAACTTTGCCCCGGATATGACTTGCTTTTCTTGTCAGTATCAAAATGAAAAGTAGATAAGGCTTCAAAATGGAACGACACTCAAATTAAGAAATCAGTTTACTGATGTAATTAAACAAATATTATGATTATTATTCGAATCACTCTAAAAAAAACTTCTGCCCCAAAACTTGCGTTTAGCAGCCACAGCTAGCGGGGGGGGGCACAGTAGCAATAGTTGGTTGAGGCACTGTGCTGCAAGCCTGAAGGTGGTGGGTTCTGTCCCAGATCCCACATGAGGTCACTGGAATTTTCAATTGACCTAATCCTTCCAGCCACATTATGGTCCTAGGCTCGAATCTGCCTCTAACAAAAATGAGTAGCAGGAATCTTCTTTGGGATATAAAGGGCAGCTGGGGCATAAGGCTGACAACCTCACTGCCTTCTGTGAGCTGAGTGTCTAGGAAATGGGGGAGTCTCGACGTCACACAACCCTATGGACCTCCACAGCCTGCTGCAGGCTAAATCCATACTGGTAAGAGGGCAGGGGAAATTTCATATCTCTGGGTGAGCTCTATGAATAAAGAACGACACAATGCACGCAGTCACAAGAGTAGAACACATCATAAGACATAACATACATACAACCTTAGAAACATAAGAAGACGATCCCCCCATGTGGATGATCAATAACACACACGAATTTAAAATATGACGCATGAGATAAAAAGTTTTAACAAGTTTTAAATACATAAACTTTATCATTATATAAGGACGTACACAAATTTAATATTATTTGTAAATAGACATATAAAGGCAAGCAGTGAAATGGTTGACGGATCGATACACCTGAAGATGGCAGCATACTGCCGAAACATGTAGTGCAGAAATGGTAAATGGGATTGAATGCACTTGAAGACTGTTAATACATACACATTATGAATATGAATCAGTGCAACAGGACGCTAAAATACTACATAGAATAAAGAAAGTGACGGGGAAGTTATCTACAGTATGTGCAAGATTTAATGGTTGGTTATTTGACAACTGTCTGCTAATTCAAGGGTCAAAAGTCTGATTAGATGAGAACATACTAGAAGCCTGTTCCAAGGTATGGGCAAGGTCTCAGTGAGTTTCAGACTCAAGCCAGATGAATTATAAGGTAATAGAAGACCCATTAGAGACTGAAACATTAAATCCATTGAACTGAGCCCTTAAGAAGGCGAGAGTAACTCTGCTGGCCAAGAAATTCCCTAATTTTTTTAATATATTATCATGTTCACAAGATGGCACCACTTAACCCTGTCATAAGCTAGATGAATCCAAGTCTATGAAGCAGAGTCATTCTTCAGCATCTTGATGGACCCTGTCCTTAATCACTTGAATCCATGTCCTCATAAATCATTTACATAAGATACATCCATGACTGTCCACCAGTCACCTTGGTCTTCCTGCATGATATCTTCTTACAAAATGTATGCATGTACTTTGCCTCTCTGCCAGGCGTATTACATACATTACCCATCAAAATATCCTCGATTTGACTAGCATAAGAGAATCAGACAACTCTAAAAACTGTTAACTTCCTTATGCAGTTCTCTTCTCCCCCTTAGATTCCAGTATTCTGTGCTCAGTCACCCTCAATGCATGAGGCTTGTTCAAATGAAACCTGCTCAGACATTGCTCTGGATGAAGGAGTGTGGGCCAGTACAAACAGTCCCTATGACAGTGAGGCAAGCCCCCCACTGACACCAGCCAATGGACCCTCACAACAATGAACTCCCCAGGCTACTGCTGGAACCATTGCATTGTTCCCACTGTGATGTCATTGTCAAGCCCAGATCCATGGTGGTCCTTTGGTGCTTTCTTGAGAGCGTTCTAACATCTATGGGTTTCATTTGAACAGCCTTCTTATGGAGACCAAGCAACAGACAGGTTTACACATGATTATTTACTAAAGATGCTAAGTTTCTGCTCCCTGTCATGTACAGCCCTGTAGTCCTTTAGGAAACTTGACCTGCTTTATGATAGATGCCCACTTCTGTCTGGGGCCACATTTCATCTGGCCCCTACCTTTCATACTGTCTAGCATATGTGACACTACCAGGGGCATATGCCCTTGCTATAATAGCCCTCTATGGGTGATCAGGTGAAACAAAACCTCTTCCTGCAACAAGGTTTAAGTAACAGCTTGGGAAAAATGTTGCTTCCTGTATCTTCCAGCTAATGTCATCATAAAGCCTATCAATACACTTCGTGCTATCATCACAATCACACACTTACCTTCCTTGCCTTACACAGAACAAAATTACCGTTCCTATTGAGTTTGTTGGGTCACTTTCACTCACAAGTCTCTCCTTATCACATACATATAATCTGAGTTCTAACCTATAAGTTCACAGTCTTCTCCATCTTGCAGTGATATTACTTAAATATCAGTCATTTCTATGGACTGTTCAATTTAATACACATCCAAACCAATATTCCATGATTATTCTCTACCATCTGTGAGAACTCTCCAAAGAGTATCTTCATTAACTACTTAAATATTCCAATCTTAATTACCAATTTCATAAAACAATGTAAAATACAGATTCATTACAAACTTTATCACAGTGATCTTGTATTAATGTACGTTATTTTCTTGCAGTCTTCACTAAGCTTGTTCACAACATAAATAACTTCCCTTAATATTAACAACTACATATGCTGCTGGTTCAGATATTAGCACAGAAACCGCTACAGAATCTGAATATTAGTGGAGTATGCCAAAAACCCAGAACGAGCCTCACACCACAGTTCATTCATTACTTCTAAATATTCTTTACTTATTAAGAAATGTAACATTTACAGTGAACTGATAAGTCACACAGAAATGTTTCAGTCTTAATACGCCTAGATGAACATAAAATCTAATATGAAAGAAATGAGAGAATGTGGCTGTCAATACCGATATTATTTCAACTGAAAATACAAGCACAAAGAAAACTAGTTTAATTTAAAGTGATATAAAATGTATGGCTGACCTGTATAATGAATCCATTCCCAGGCGCAGAAAATCTTAAATAGAACCACAGGGCACTACCGTCTCTCCGGTGAAAGGATGATTTAAAATTCAAGTCACATTCTTGTTAAATAGAACTGCACCACAAACATTATCGTAATTGTAAATTAACATAGTAAAATATTAAAATAAATCTCGTGTTCAAAACTTGACCATTTCTTCTAGCACGTGACGCGTATTGGTTATATCATACCACTCACAGGATGAAATTTATAATACATTTATGAATCGAATTACGACGTTTCTTTTACAGTCATATGGCGCAAGTTTCAAACTATTAACAAATGCATCTGAAATTTGAAATATGTTTTTCCTAAACTCCACTGTGTAATAACATTTTGTAGCCGTAATTTAACACAAGTACGATACTCAAAATCATGTTATAAATTCCGCCATGTTATATGTCAGCAATCGATGTGCACAGTCGAATGAACCATAGATTATTTTGGTTGCTAAAGTTATCGAAAGGTACCTGTGGTTTTGAAAAGGTCGCGCCATAGCTCAAGCAGTTAGTCGCTGGCTTCCCAACGCGGCGGCCCGGGTTCGATCCCGGGTTTGGTCTATAATCATAATTAAGCCATTTATTTATGTAATTAGTACGAGTATTGCCTTCCATGACTCATCTCTCAAATAAATAATTACCTATCTGTGATACTTCGCGTAATTTGGTACTCGTATCACGCTCTACCGGCGACACTTGTAATTATTTGACAGAGTGATACTTGGAATCAGGGAGGAAGGTTGAGAAGGTTGTCCATCTATGAGCGAAATTTCTAATACATTCGGCAGATGTCTAGTGTCACTCCATCTATCTTGTAAAACTTAAAACACAGACACCCATCACAAAGCGCGCTTCAATTTCCAAACAGAAACTTGCGAAATAGCGGATTTATATTAAGATAATCAACGCAAATTCAAATAATTCCTAGGTAATTAACTCACCTTCGCCTTCTCGATGGAATCATATCTCTTTCTTCAGAGGCTGATAGTCGATCAGTCAACAAAGTGGAACTCGAAAATTAATTACCGCATTCACAACAGCACGATTAAATTGTGGGCGGAACATGTAACACGCATTAGAAAATTTAGAGACGCCTAAAAGATAGTGTGAAACCTGAAGGGGGAGACCACTTGGGCCCCACGAGTAAATATACGTTATGACCTTTACTTAATTGAGCACCACGCTATGAAGAGGTGTGGAAAAGTGGAGGTGTAGCTCCTCTAGGTCCACGCTGCGGTCACTTACCTTCGGGGAAATCGCAACGGCGCCCATTGCACAGGGAGGTTTGTCTCTCTTACAGGAGATCTGAACGTCGTGAAGAGAAAGATTCCTTGCCCCAACCCGGGAATCGAATCGAGATCCTCCGTTCGTCGATACGGTAGCCTACTAACTATACCGACTGAGCTAATCCGAGTCATGGAGCAAGTGAAAAATCATTCCTCAAATGATTTTAAGATATTGATCGTCATGGTGTGTATTAGATTCAGCTGGCTCAGGATGGGGTCAGAACTGTGGTCTTGCGAATACGGTGATGAACATGAGATCTGAGGTTCTCAGGGCTGTACGTACAAGGATTACGGTTATATGGTATGTGACGCCGTGTAGCTTCGCAGATAATTATAAAGTTTTTGAAGAAGCAGCTGCCTCTGTCGTTAGCACAGAAGAATGAGCCGCGTGGGGAAGAAGTGTATAGAGAGAGGACAAGAACCTGAAGCCTGAGCCTAAGATCGCCGCTCTCTCACAGGCGAGGAGGCAAGATGATAGGAAATTGTCTCATCTCCTTTCTAACCTTCGTTCCCTATCTCTACCGCCTTTCATTGAGCAGGTAACTGTTCTGCACTGAAGAAGAATAAAGCAGGTTCCTCCAAAATGACATGACGTCATATCGTAGTAGGCTGCGAGCCTTAGGGTTTCGTAAAATGGCGCCGGTTTGCTGATAAAGCTGAACAGACACTGCACTCCATTGCGGCGGCTTGCTGCAACAAGGCAGGAGGAGCATTGTCTGGGTGGGCATGAACGTCTCTCTCCTACGTAGCTGACTCAGGCACCAGCATAAGGAGCGTGGGCAGGGACATGGAAGGAAACGAGGAATTTCCCCCGTCATCCCTAGATTTATGGCAAAAGAAGAAAACCTGTCAAATGTCAATAACAGAGGGAACAAATATTTCGAAAAAAGAATTCACTCTTCTATGCTGAACGCTCTAGGGCGGTCAGTAAAGGAAGTCACGAATTGCTCAGACGTCAAGTTTGTAATCACAACTTCTGAATGCCCCCCCCCCTACCCGATAGAGCCTGTAAGAATCCATAGCAACGTGCCGAAGTCGAGCGGACGTCCGTAAACTGCATTACCGTAAAGGCGCGTCCGCATTACTCGCGCTCGTGCGTCAGAAGCTTACTGCTGATATCTGTTGTGAAGAAATGCGAAGGCTTTGTATGCAAACCAGTTTGGGCGTCCACTTCGTCAGCTCCAGATCCTGCTTTCCCGGCAGCAGTAAGCTTCTGACGCACGAGCACGAGTAATGTGGACAGGGTCTGAGGTCCTACAATCCGGTGAAAGTTCACCGACATTTCGGAACAAAGCTGATCCAACCAAGTAACCAGCAACAATCAGGCAGCAAGGTTCGAATTTGAGGATGGTGGAAGACGTAGTTTCCTGCAAGAAACTTCGATGGACGTGTACCGAACTACACGGCGTCACATCTCACTCTTCATAAGAGCAACTCGCAATCAATCGACGCTCAGCACCCCAGTCGGTACGAGGGCAGCCTGATGACGCAAGTCGGGCATGCCGTGAACACAGCCACCAATAATATATTATCCATAACACCGCGGCACAAAATCAGCTACTACAGATTCAAAATCCCAATAATTTTAAAATATAAGACACAAGTGATCATAATAAATTTAGTGTATACAAGAGACAGAAGTGCTCAGTAGATGTGTACAGAGGTTATGCAGGCAGTAACAGTACACAACTGCTCCCATATGCAATACACTGACAAGTGCAGCAAGAAAGAGCAGTCAGAGTAAAAATGAGAATGCACAAATATATCACCTGACGATGGCCAGAAAGAGTCGAAACCAGTTGTAACTGTATACATGTATACGCCTGACTGGGCGGGTTAGTGGGCATGGAGATACTGTTCACTTGTTTCGGCCTACAGCAATACTGCGATGCACAGCGATGTTCACCTGCCTAATTTCTCTGCCTTTTGTATTTCTTTTTTCATCCTAACGTGATTTAAATATTAGCTGTGAATTTCAGTAACTATTTTGCTGAAGTGGAGTCCCACTTGAAGAACTTGCAGCCATTCTGCTGCTGACAAAGAATCTCCACCTTTATGAAGCCTGAAGGCACACTGACATGTACACATGTGCCCGCCACTTGGCCCTATCTAGAGCCACATGGCTCCACTCAGAAAAATCATATTCTTTCTTTAAGATTCGTCTCTGTGTTCCCTTCCCATCTATATTTAGATCATCCAAGTGATGTTTTATCTTCATTATTTATAATTAAAATTGTGTATGTATTTCCCGTTTCCAGTATGGCAAAAACTTATAAGATATGTTTGGCACACTGAAGATGGAGGAACTATGATCCTTCGAAACGTCGATACCCACGTACCAAAATACACTGCGAAAAACAATATTAATGTCTAAATATATCGTCCCATTCATTAGAGATATCCAGGCCACTGAGGTAACACAACAAACACCAAGCGCGTGTGCAAAATCTGTTCCATGCGTGACCGCACAAGTTCTATAACTTGAGTAACACAAAGAAAATGCTAAAATACTTTATTCTGACTGAAAACGTGTTACGTTTTGAGGATCGTCACATAAAACGTACAGCAGCAGTGTTAAAGGCTAGAGCTGACTAGTCTGTCCCTCACCACGTGACCATCCTTCCAGCTACGCGCGCCTATGCGCACCATCCGTCACCACGGTCACAGTTTACACCAAGATGGCGTGAATTATCGGCGAGTCACTCTGCAGCATATTTGGCTTCACTCCGGACGCGCCGGCGCCATGTTACGACGTCAGGAGATGGCAGTCAGGAAGGGAACAGGGGTCCCGAAACTGCCGTACCCTGTGGTGATGGAGTCTGAGCACTTCGAGGGGAGAAGGGGAGGAATGTCTTGCGGCAGGTTGCGTCCTCTCTGGATGCAGCACTCGGCATCCCCAGGGTTCGCGACGGGCACAGGGACCGCGGGTCCAGGTCCGTTGTAGAGACATACAAAACACGTGACAGACACGAACTGCAAGAAGACAAAACCAATAAGAAAAAGATGCAGAACGCGTTGTCCATAAAGTACCACACAAAGCTCTCAACTGCGTTTTCCTCAGATCTAATAAAAATATTTTGGATATGAAATTGCAAATATCACTTTGAACAAAATCTGTAGGCGAGCTCATGGGAAACATGCGAAAGTCAGTTTCGATTCGTATGTAAATTATGCCACATTTTGAATCAGCATGGATCCGTGTACATGCACTTCCGTTCTCGTGTAAACTGGGCTTCGTTATCGAACAATGCAGCTCAAAATAAGCAACTTTCATACTGCGTTCCGACGAGCTTAGCACAGCCATTCATGCGATACATGGAGAAATACTTTTCCAGTCTCAGTGAAATCCGATGAATGTTTGGAAGAAGGCATTTCCATTCCTATGTGAACTAGGCTGTATTGTGGTAACTGAGGCTCGGGGGTGTAGCCGTTCTATGTCTGTGTGTCTAAAGCTTGAGAGAACTGCAGTTTCATGAGGCCCCACATGAAGAAACTGACTTTAAACGTCACCGAGCCGCCATTCATTGAATATTTGTCAGCTGACCAATTTCATGGCATAGAATCCTTCTTTAGAAGCTGACAGTGACCCAGGCGGTAAAGAATGCTCCCGCCTTTTACAGAACACGTAGGCTCATTACCGTGCTCACAACAGCCCAAAGCTGGCCACACTCTCACACCCCGTTCCCTTCTCTTCAGTTTAAATTTGTATCTGCTCGCTTATATGGTTTGTCTTGCGTGCTGCATGTCCCACCCCTCTCATCCTCCTTTATTTGACAGCCCTAATTGATGTCTGGTGAGGAGTACAAACCTTGAAGCCCCCTCAGCAGCCCGTTCTCAAACACCCTCAGTCTGTATTCTTCCCTTAATTATTAGGGGGACACTACCCGACAGCAGTCACATTTCCTTGTACTGCATATTCAGCATCGTGTACTGTTTAGTGCCTCAACTCACCACCAGGAGGTGCATGCCCACGGGAAACAGGGTTCCACTCCGGAATCCAATCGTGTCATACAGCACACCCCCAACTGAGGGCCCCACGAAGGCTCCGAGCGAGAAGAACGAGGCCCACAGCCCCGCCACCATCCCGTATGTGGTCATGTCGTCAGGAAAGCCACTGGCCCTGCAGGAAACACATGTACCGGTAAAAAGTACTGACATTCACACAGGTACACCATAGTCAGCAGCATGCAGAGTGAGGAAGCCTTCCGGAGCCTGAGAAGTGCTCACTGGCCTGGGTGTTCTTGACGGACTGCATTGATTTGTCTGAGATAGAACGATTTATGAACCACAGCAGATCGCTCTGCTTGCCTCCCGCTTCATACTAGCTACTTGTTTGGCTTCTTTGAACCTGAAGATGGAGGCAATGTGCTCCACCGAAAAGTCGATGAGTTTATATTGAAATGCATGGCCTCACATCCCAAAGAACAGTCGGCTCCGAAAATTCACCTGCATGCTTTACACCCAGTATGTGTCCTATGTCATGACATGACATGACATGACATGACATGTTGCTTTGAGTCACTGCTACGGTAAATGGGTCCCATGTTGCAGTCATATTTCTTACCCCTGCACCAAACACAAAGCGAGTTTTGTGGATGGCTCAGTCAGTACTTACACAGAGGATCTGATGATGTCAATGAAGCATGGTACTAATATGGAGGCCGTGCCGATGCCGTGGACGATGAGGCCGAGTACACACATCCACATGGTCCTACAAAAGAAGATACAGGTGCTCATGTGTAACACTGTTTACGTGTGTCCCTCTAGCTCCGACTTCTTGAATTCAGTCGGAAACAGCACAGCTCACGGCTGTGTGCTGCCCAGTGGTAGGAAGCAGCCGTAATTTAATTGGGACATTTTCATAGAGAGACTGAAGAAAACTACGAAACCTTTAAGTAGAGATTTGAATCGAGGCCTCCAGAATACAAAACCGAGTGTGTATGCATTCGCCCGTGAAATTCGGGGTTTTCTGCGTGCGTTATGTTTTGACGGCAGGCAACCCCTCCACTCGGACAGTGTTGCTGTCCTTCAGCGGAGATGTGTAGCTCATTCACCGACTCTCAGATGAGAAGGGATGGAGGGCCATTTAGCGCGCATGGGACAGAACAGACATGAGCGCAGGATTTTGTTCGGAAATCCTGAAGGAAATAGATCAGTTGGAAGATGAAAGGTAGATATGAGGGTAATATTAAAATGGATCTTAGAAGAAATCGGGAGGAAAGTTGTGAAATGGATTCATCTGGCTCAGAATACGCTTCCAATCAGAAATTCACCCCGGACAGACTGCCTAATGCGAGAGTTATGCAGCCGGTTTAAACCTCCTCTTCCCCCAGTTATCAATCCTGGAGGTGGCACTTCCGAAGTTTGCCGAAAAGTTGGAGGAGGGCCCCCCACCCAGAAAGCCACGCAATATTAAAGCGCAGCTATGTAAAGTGTGTATAGAGTATCAGGGCTTGAGGGGGTGAGATGGCGTCCAGGCAGGACAAATGTGGGGGACTCCACCACACGAATTATATGGCGAACCATACTTTAACGTCATTACAACACATTCCTGACTAATCATCACTAGAAGCACAGGGCAGCTGCCGGACGACAATACATTTTTTTTAATTTGCTACTATCTCAACATTGCAGAAGAATACAGAAGAAAAAGGCCAACATTAAGTGGGCCACGCATGTAGAATGTTCTCAGTGAGGGAGGATACTCACGTTGGGAGAGGCAGCCCCGGCAAGGGGCCCACCAGGAAGTAGCTGGTTACGATGCACACACTTCCGGCCACCATCACCTTCTTGGGCTGCACTTCGAGGTCACAGAGGCGGCCCACGAGCGGTGCGGACACTGCGTACAGCGTACCACTGATAACGAACATGACCCCTGTGACGACCGGCGTAAGACAGAACTGTAACAAGAAATGTGTCTCCTCATCGCTGCTGGGCCCAGCTTGTATCTGGGACCGGCCCTTGCGTGGTACTAAATGGACGGAGCTTCAAACAAGACGCTGCCATCCATACCTCGAGCTGCAACTGTGCTCTTGAATCTTGGCTGGGGCCATGTACGCCCACAGGATTCTTTCAAAGGGAGGTTCGAGGGAGGCAGAGAGAGATAGTATATCTTTTCACTGGCGTAGGTGCAGCAAGAAGTGCACTGACAAACTAAAGTCGTTGCGGTTTAAAAAACACTTTTAAGAGTCGCCCTAGAGTTGTGGGTCTCTGTTGTGAAACACGGATGGCGCCAGAGACTGGGAACAAGAATCTGTGATATTAATATTTGGTACATCTACTTATCTCTTTATCAGCTGAGAATCTGAATATATGTGTATCACTCGAATATTACTTGCACGTATACCGGCAGGGTGTGCGCCGGTAAACACGGATGAGGCAGGCGAATGATGACGACTGATCAATTGCATCAGTAAAAATGTGAGATCTCTATGAACATGCTGATTATAATTTCAAGGTAGGAACAGCAGAATAAATAAAGCGAACAGAGTAACAGTTTTCCGCTGTTAAATGCAGACTAAGTATGTGTTACTGTCTCGTCACCAAAATGCAGGGCAAAATCATGACACAACGATAGGAAACAGATGTTCCGAAAATGTGGTACAGTTCAGACATTTGGGAACGACGATAACAGATCAAAACCTGATTCAGGAGGAAATTAAGAGGCGACTGAATTCGGGTAATGTTGCTACATATCATTCAGTCCAGAACCTTTTGTCTTCTCGTCTGCTGTCCAAAAACATACAAATTAGAATATACAAAACTAATTTTGGCTATGGTTCTGTATGGGTGTGAAACTTGGTCTCTGACATTAAGGGAGGAACATAGACTGAGGGTGTGTGAGAACAGGGTGTTGAGAAGAATATTTGGACCGAAGAGAGATGAAGTGACGGGAGGTTGGAGAAAACTGCATAATGAGGAGCTTCATAACTTGTACTCTTCTCCAAGAATAATTAGAATGATCAAGTACAAGGAGGATGAGGTGGGCAGATCATGTAGCACGAATGGGGGAGACGAGGAATGGGTATAGAATATTGGTGGGAAAGCCAGAAGGAAAGAGACCACAAGGAAGACCAAGGCGTAGGTGGGTGGACAATATTAAAATGGATCTTAGAGAGATAGGATGGGATGGGATGGATTAGATAGATCTGGCTCAGGATAGGGACCAGTGGAGGGCTCTTGTGAACACGGTGATGAACTTTCAGGTTCCATAAAATGCTGGGAAATTCTTGAGTAGCTGCAGAATTGGCGGCTCCTCAAGAAGGGCTCGGCTCCATGAGTAAGTAAGTAAGTAAGTAAATAAATGCAGACTAAGTTAATCTCTCCGCTGTCCTTATATATTTGAATCTTTCGAGTGTCAACATCGATTGCTCAATTACAAACTGGCGGTCTTTTGAACATGATTTTGAGCAGTGGGTTTATGTTATGTTATGATTACCAGAACGTTTTTTCTTAAATGGGTTTTAAGGTAAACATTTTAATTTCAAATGCATTTGTTAATAATTCTAATTTTTCGCATTGTAATTATAGATCAAATACCTTGGGCTGGTACAGAAATCGTTTAGAAATTTCATCTAATAGATGGTGCGACATCACTTACTGGCTCAACCCATTCTCGGCAAACTCTGAGTAATAGTTGCAAATTCCACCGATAGAGTGTATGAATCTTTTGCACATGCTACCATCTATAGCCATGCATTACGCGCTTAAGTAATGGCGCAATTTTCAAGGTGGGAATGTCGTAAGTTGCAGTCATGTTGGGTGTTGGTTCACGATTACGTTGACGTATTAGTGCAGTGTCGTTTATTAAGAAAATATAATTTCAATTTTAAACGTATATCCTACATCTCTGAGGAGTTTTCTTATGTCTGTCCTTACGTATGTTTTCATTACGCAGGTCAATCTTCGGTTTTTAAATAATTTAAACGTAATTAATTTTCTTTCTACCTGTACTTGCATGTACTCTGTAAAACTACCTTTCAGAGTGTGTTCGCTGATAGTAGAGAGTTGTTAGGAGATTGTTGATTTGAACAGTCCATAGAAATGACTGATATTTAAGTAATATCACTGTGACTGTGAACTTATAGGTTAGAACTCAGGTTATATGTACATGATAAGGAGAGACTTGTGAGTGAAAGTGACCCAACAAACTCAATAGGAACGGTAATTTTGTTCTGTGTAAGGCAAGGAAGGTAAGTGTGTGATTGTGATGATAGCACGAAGTGTATTGATAGGCTTTATGATGACATTAGCTGGAAGATACAGGAAGCAACATTTTTCCCAAACTGCTACTTAAACCTTGTTGCAGGAGGAGGTTTTGTTTCACCTGATTACCCATAGAGGGCTATTATAGCAGGGGCATATGCCCCTGGTAGTGTCACATATGCTAGACAGTATGAAAGGTAGGGGCCAGATGAAATGTGGCCCCAGACAGAAGTGGGCATCTATCATAAAGCAGGTCAAGTTTCCTAAAGGATTACAGGACTGTACATGACAGGGAGCAGAAACTTAGCATCTTTAGTAAATAATCATGTGTAAACCAGTCTGTTGCTTGGTCTCCATAAGAAGGCTGTTCAAATGAAACCCATAGATGTTAGAACGCTCTCAAGAAAGCACCAAAGGACCACCATGGATCTGGGCTTGACAGTGACATCACAATGGGAACAATGCAGTGGTTCCAGCAGTAGCCTGGGGAGTTCATTGTTGTGAGGGTCCATTGGCTGGTGTCAGTGGGGGGTTTGCCTCACTGTCATAGGGACTGTGTGTACTGGCCCACACTCCTTCATCCAGAGCAATGTCTGAGCAGGTTTCATTTGAACAAGCCTCATGTATTGAGGGTGACTGAGCACAGAATACTGGAATCTAAGGAGGAGAAGAGAACTGCATAAGGAAGTTAACAGTTTTTAGAGTTGTCTGATTCTCTTATGCTAGTCAAATCGAGGATATTTTGATGGGTAATGTACATAATACACCTGGCAGAGAGGCAAAGTACATGCATACATCTTGTAGGAAGATATCATGCAGGAAGACCAAGGTGTAGATAGGCAGGTAATAATGAAGTGGAAATGGGTTGGATGGAGTTCAGTCCGATGTTTTTGTGAAAGCAGTGATGAACTGTTGGGTTCTTAAATAACAGAATTTCTAGTACAACAGAATATCAGCTGTTCAGAGGAAAGTGAACTCCATTATGTTCCAGAACTTAGAAAATAATCCAAGTTCACTGAAAATATTTCTTAGCCTTGTTGGTTTTTATGTTGTATATAAATAAACCTTTTTCTGCTTTCTACCGCAGACCTGATTGCGGGCACCCGAAGATATGAAACTCACTCACTGTTCCTGCCAATATGTGCTAATGTTGCAGTAGTTTTTTGTACGTGATTCAAATGCTCATTCCAAATGTTTTTTTTTAATTACTCGAACAAACTTTAATTTCTGAATTTGAATGTTGTTATTTCTTTGAAGTTTCTTCTGCTGTGCATTATGAAATTGAACAGGAGAGCAAAATATTCAAAATTAAGAATGATCATTTCTTCTCTAATTATAAAATGTGACTTCACACTCTGAGGGGATGGCAGAAGAGAAGTTTAAATTTATTGAGAATGAAGTGTTGAAGGAATGTTTGCAGCTAAATGAAATGAAGTAAGTCTTAAGCAGAGAGAATGTTACGTGAAGGGAACTTGATATACATAGCTCTGTTTATATCAGGAAGCTTTATGTTGAGCAGAGAAAATTCCCATCTTGTGGAAAGAGGAAATTCAATTATGAAACTGCCCCTGTCACCATTTGTATCCACATGAATTACTTTTCTACCCTGAAGATGGAGGCAGCAGGCATATGCCAGACTACACAGTCTTACATCCCAGAACACTAGTCTTAACAGTCACTGTCATGAGAGCCACAGATCTCACGAGGTATACGACCGGGTGAGATTGTTATTTCTTGGTCACGCTTTGATCTTGAGGGTTATTTTGAACATATTCCTCAATCCTCAGTGTAGATACACAAAGTCATAACATGTAAATCCACGTTATGAATCGGCACTGTTGTGAAAATCTCAAATTTCCGACTTCATGGTATGGTGCTTAGGTGCGGGGGCAACTGGGTGCAGGTCATACCTTTCGGAGGTGGGGCTCCAGCGTAGCTGAGTAGAAGCCCATACTGACAGCAGTTGCTGCTATGCAGAATGAATCCAGTCCCACATCAGGAATTTTGAACATGGCGAGCAGCTTCACTGTAACAGGATTTATTTAAATTCTGTTTAATATCACAGTTTGGCCTCATTTTCTGACTATGTTTTTATGTATTGTTGTACCTTGTGAGCCACTGGAAATATATTTCTCATAATCAGGTCCCAAATTATGATTTCGAGCAGCATTATGTCTCTCTACATGTTTCATCTTCAACACTTGGTGATGAATTTGGATTAAATTTCACATGGACAGTCTACGCTACACATTGTATAGTGAATACCATATTGTAACTCCTGATATTAATACTGAATTATTGCTTTTTCTTTTGAAAATCAAACATTGCAGTCAAGAGATTAGCCCTCTTGCTTTGTTAGGTCACAGGTTCAAATCTCAGCTTTCAGACCATCTATTGTTAACTCCAGTTTATTATGGTTTTCTTCAGTCCATCCAGGCAAGTGCCAAGACAGTGCTGCAAATTATACCACAACTGTTCCCTTCCTTCCACATTCATTCCAGTTCATTATTCACTGACTGTCTTGTCATTTTGTGCTACATAACCTAAGCTGTTGAGTCTGTTATTAATTGTACCTCAATTAGATAAATTCTTTTGAAAATAATTCATGATACAGTTAATGAGATATATTTTCAATGAATATTTTAGAATTATATGGGGAAAAAACTGCATCTGATTAAATATTTTAAACATTTTTCAAGTAGTTTGTTGATCAAAATCTTACAAGTTGAACCAGGGGAAAAATTAATATGTTTTGGTACCTGAGATTTTCTTTATTAATCAATTAAACCTCACACACAAACTCTTCATTGTGATTCAAAATGGAATGTGTCTTCCCAATGAAGCGCTTGTTAAATTTGTCCATCTCTGGCTTCATTTTGACTCTGCACATATCAAAACTTCATATTAAAGCCATTTGCAAATTAACTTACCTTCTGGTCTCAGCTGTCCTGGTTCATTTCCCAAAGGGGGCAGGATAAAATATATAAATATCGCATCAAGCATTAGAAATGTTCCCATTGAAACAAATGGGAGAATGTAGCCGCCTAGCTGTGGAAATAGAAACATTGTCAGAGGCTAAGATACTTGGTTCAGTGCCATCAGTCACTTAGGTATTTAATCCAACACTGATAGACACTAAAAGATCGTTCTGTTTCTTGAAGATACATTTCATAATATTATCCTCCTATCAGACTTTTCCATGTGGTTGCATTATGGACTTTGTGGTGAACACATTTTGCTTTTAGCAGGAGCTTATCTCCTTCCCTCCAGCTCATGGGCATTCTCTTATTGTGACATGTAGGTCCATTGTTGAGTAACAGCTGTGTAAAACAGGTGACAGTACAGCAAGCATTGCTAGGGAACAGCTCTGTGGAAATTTTACCCTGGCAACGAAATAACATGGAGTAATGGAAAAGACAGATTGAAGTTGTGAGAAGTGAGAAGCTGGTAGCTGAGGCCGGGGACAGTTTGGGAACCAGAAGAAGGGGAATGTCATCTGTTGGAAGCTGCTACCAAGCAACGGCTAGTAAGTCTGAGAAGGCTTTATGTGTGCTGCAGTTGCAGTGATCGTTGGAGAGTGTAACTAAGTGAGACTGCCGTAGTTATTTGTAGTTATGAGTGTAAGTATCCAACAAATCCAGTTACCAGTCCAAACTTTGTCTCTAGTCACACTCAACCATGTTACAGTAGTCAACATTGCCACTGGATTGGTTAAATGTACTTACTGAAAACAGCATTCCACCAATCATGGGTCCTACGATGTAGCCCAGACCATAGAATGTTTCCAGCGCAGCCTGTAAGGTGAAGAACATACTATGAAGGGTGTGCTGTCACTCTTGTACATATGTTGGACATGTCCCATCATTTCTTTCATAAAGGAACAATATTTTCGAAGCTGACTCTGTTTTAATGAAACTACAAAACCTACACCAGGAGCTCTATCAGATGGGGTTATCTGTCCTTGACTGTGAAATGTGTCTCTTTACTGAAAATAAGCCAATGTAAAATAACCCTAATGTACGTCAGTTCAGTAGCATGCAAGTATCTGGTTGGCTGATCCTAAGAATTGCCTGTGCATTGTTAATTGTCTGAAATGGTGGATAATTATGTCATATGGGCCTATTTATTGCTCACACTTTTTCATGTCACCAATATTAGCATGATGCAATTTCTGTGTTCTGATTCTCACATACAAATTGTTTTTGTTTTCTTTGTCTCCAGTAATGATTTCCTTAACTCCTTTGTATCACAGCGTGTCTGCAAAACAACAGGAAATTGTGTTGTGGTGTTCTGGCTTCTGGTACCAACATACCACATCCACATTCTGGACTAAAGACACAGGCAACATGTTCCTCTGAAACATTCATAACCCCCTACCAGATTGCACGGTGGCATAATCCAGAAGACCGCAGTATAAAACGTGCGAGACTTTGGGTTCATATAGTACAGTAATATCTTCTGGCATGTGACACGGTGTGGCCTGGTGTAAGGTACTAATATTTTAGTAGAACCTGCTGCCTCCATCTTCAGTAATATATCATGAAGTTTGGAGTTGCCATGTAGTTTGGTAGGTTGCTATCAACATTCTTGAAAAACCTGTTCCCGACTTCTTCAGGGTTTACCCTGAAGATGGAGGTGACCTTGAAGACAGGCAGCACGTTCCTGTGAAATGGTTGAATTTCTACCAGAAAACGTGGCGTCTCATTCCAGAAAGCAGTACTCTTCATAGTACCTACTGTGAGAACCTCGAACCTCAAGTAAGAGGGAATCCACTTGTCTGATCAGACATACCAATGATGAATGAGAGTGGAGCAAATAACACTAAAAAATTAAGTGCCTCCTGCATAGAAAACACGTTGAGGTCTCCGCTACAAAGCCCAACCAGTTAATGCTGTTTAGGGAAACAGTCGCTGTTTACTGTGAGAGCCATACAGAACACACAGATACACTGTGGGCAGAATGCAGAGTTTTAGTATGTTCAGTCCGTACCCACAGGAAACATTACGTCTCCACTACAGAGCCCAACTGGTTAATGCAGTTTAGGGAAACAGCCGCTGTTTACTGTGAGAGCCATACGGAACACACAGATACACTCTGTGGGCAGAATGCAGAGTTTTAGTATGTTCAGTCCGTACCTCACAGGAAACATTACGTCTCCACTACAGAGCCCAACCGGCTAATGCTGTTTAGGGAAACAGTCGCTGTTTACTGTGAGAGCCATACGGAACACACAGATACACTCTGTGGGCAGAATGCAGAGTTTTAGTATGTTCAGTCCGTACCTCACAGGAAACATTACGTCTCCACTACAGAGCCCAACCGGTTAATGCTGTTTAGGGAAACAGTCGCTGTTTACTCTGGGACTCATATGGAACATATAAACACACTGTGTGGTCAGGATACAGAGTTTCTGTATATTAAAGCGTGTGATATATGTATGTAGTTTGGTTCTGAATTTGTGTATATTTATTTATGGTTTATTTTATGATGCTGTCATTAGCTCTCTATGTAGTATTGAATTGTAGCATAGTTAGTGAATAGTGAATTTGAAGGAATGTGGAAGGAAGTGATTCTGCCCTAATTTGAGGCACATCCTGTGTTGGGTTCTGTTCCAGGGCCAGCTTCACACTGACTGCGTGGAGATGACTGCACAGCACACAGATACTCACGAAGGTAGTGGCCACTGAGTCTGGGAATACGGACGCTGTGATGGCAAATGCAGCAGTTGTAGCAGCTGAAGTTCCCAGTGCCTCCACAATGCGAATAGTGAATGACAGAGTGATGAAGTCTATGTGCCCTGTGACCAGGTCTAGTAGCCTGAAATGCAGGTTACAGACTACATGTGATGCACAGAAATTAGCTATCACAACACAGCAAAATTCACACCATAGACATTTCAGAGGTTATTTAACAAGTGAACATGGTAATGGGGGCATGCGGTAGTGTAGTTGGTTGAGGCACTATGCTACAAGCTGGAAGGTTGTGGGTGCAAGTCCCAATGAGGTCATTAGATTTTTTTCAATTGACCTAATCCTTCCAGCTGCACTGTGGCCTGGGGTCAACTCAGCCTCTAACAGAAATGAGTACCAGGAATCTTCTTGGGGGTAGAGGCCAGCCAATGCATAGGGCTAACAATCTTGCCACCATCTGTGAGCCGATTGTCTAGAAAATGTGGGAACCTGAACATCTCACAACCTTATGGGTCTCCACCGCCTGTTCCAGGGATACATTTACTTCTTTTTCTTACATGGTAATGAACCTTGCAGTTAGAGGTGATCAGATGTGTTGTGAACTGTTCCAGTCCATAAGGTCACGTTACTGTAGACTTAAATATATCAAAACTGCCAGTCATATACTCTGAAGAAAGTTTTGGTTGTTATGTTAGTACAATGTAACATTAAGAAAGTTTAACCTAAATATAAATACATTTTAGCCGGGGGGGGGGGCGATTTTTATAAAGAAGAGCTAAAATGAAGAAAG